CAGCCCTTTTTCATGATGGTTTTTTCCCCCAAGATAGGGTCTCGTGAACTATTTTACCCAGGATGGCTTTGAACCTCAGTTCTCCTGATCTCCGACTAGTAAACTGCTAGGATTACAGGCATTAGCCACCAGCGTCTAGCTGAGGATACAGTTTAATGTGTCTGTGTAGAGAAACTGACAGATTTTGGGGGTGGGGGGGAATCCTATATAGCCTCAAAAATCACTGTTCTCCTGCCTTGGCCTTCCAAATACTGGGATTTCAGGTGTGTGGCGTGCTACTTGGCTGAGGATGAAGCTCTGAGAATTCTTATCTAATAAGGTAAAATGGCTAGTAAGAAATTAAACGCGCCAACTAATTACACTGTTCAATTATTGAAACAAGATCCTGCTATGGTAGCAAGACCACAAAATTCCCAGTTAAAGAATGAAAATAACTTTGCTAATTTCAAAATATTGGTTTTATTTGGCAATGGAAAAACATGTGCATGCCAGGATTCCCTCCAATTTCTTCTAAATACTCCTAACACACTTGTGATACAGAAAGTTGTACAAAGTGACAACTATTCATGCCACGTATCTATATGCTTTTCTCCACTTAAGCAGAGCTCATGGGTAATGACATTTTTTCAAAAAACTAAAATCCTCTAAGACTAAGACACTGCTTATGATCACAGTTAAGTACGGACTGCCTCCCCCCCGCAACCAAGGGGTTCTTAACCAAAGAGGTTTCAGGATCACCTAGACAACATTTCAAAATCCTTTTTGCAGAGAAAATTAAGTCTTAGATTCCTATGTAGCTATATTCGTTAAAAACTGAACATTCAATAAACAAATTTAACTCATGTCAAAGCCCACATATATAACATACAGTCTGCTCTTACACTAATAGAAAAAACCAAGTGCAAAAACCAATCTAGATTTTGAGAAATTAAATCTGAAACATTTTTATCTTGTTAGGAACCTAGTTTTTTCCTTAATAAAAAGGAAGCATTATGCTTTGGAGACTCCTAAGAATTGACTTATCTTGGATAACAAGGGACACCTGAATCTAAGAATTAACATAAAGCTTGAAAGAACAATGGAGTTACACAACTTTTTCTCAGTGCTAGGTGGAGTATTCAACTTTACATTTTTATGATTAAAAACTAAATCATAGCAGATGAGCTCAACTAAAGGAAGTGTAGTGTCACAGCCATACTTTATCAAATTAAACATTGAGGTCATTCTATGACCAGCATCTCTGTCATACAACTATCATGCACAGTAAATTAACTATAAACAAGCCTAGAGGACCTTTAAAAAAACCCAAATCCACACTCAAAAGTTTCAATCCAACCTACAGATTGCTTGTAAACTTTGATATCCCTTTAAGATACCCTAGCACTTGTCTGGTACATGGCTGTTTCTAGGCCTTAAAAGAGACCACTAGGCCTTAAAAAGAGACTAGCCAAGAAGAATTAAATTTACTCCTTTCCAGTATGTTCTTATTTCACAAGTTATCTATAACCTGAGACTAAAGCTAAATCACATTTAAATATGAAGTGGTAGAGAAGATTATGTTAGATAATTGAAAAAACCAAATTCACCAATGAGGAATGAAATGGTCCAAAAGACAGCTTGACTTTGAGTGGGCTATCTGATTAGAATCTCAGTTACTGGCTGTATGACTTAGTAAGCAATCTCTGTGCCTGTTATCTCACCTATAAAAATGGAGTATCTCAGAAGGTTGTCTTGAGTATTAAGTCAGTTAATACTCAAAGGGCTTCTAGTAGATAGAGGTTAGGCTATAGCTTACCCATTATCCATATCAAGTTATTTTTACAAAAGGAAATCTTCTTAAGTCACAAAACACTAAAGGATGTTATGAAAATGATGTGGTTATGAAGGCACACTTTAGAACCAGATGGCCTGGATTCTAACCCCAACTCTGTCACAATATAAGCCAATCCCCCCCAACTTCTGTGCTTTAGTTTTCTTATTTCAAGATGGAGATATAATTGTACCTACTACTTACATTTCTTGTAAGATTAGTTAATAAAATTATTGTTTCAAATAGTTATAACACATTGTAAACAAAACATTCTTTTTAGGCTTGGTTCATGTTAGATTTTGCGTAATACAAAGTTCTCCTCAACACATCTCCAAAACATACATCCATAGTCATTCTGATTAATCAAGACTGTCAGAACTGTATGGCTCCCAAACACCAATCAATTTGGAATTCTGCTTTAATAGCCCTATTTTTTTTTTTTTGGCAGTATTAGGGTTTGAACTTGGGCCTTGCACTCACTAGGCAAACACTGTACCACTTGAGCCACACACCTCCAACCCATAATACCCTTAAAGACCATACCACAAATCAGCCCAAATACTACAAAAGACAAAGGTTATTTGGTATACAGAATAGAAAATACACTGAAGATATCAAGTATAAAAAAATGAAGATTATAAAATGGACTTGATCAATTATATACTAAAGGATGTAAGTATCTAATAACAAGCATTCCAATAAAACATTAGCATGGAATATAGAAACAACTTAGGATTTGTTTTTTAGAGGGAGTGTTAGATAAATAAAATAGGTAATGACAAACAAAAAACCACACTGACACCACTGACTTTGTTTTTAAGAGAAAAGTAAAAAAAAGCACCCCCAATTCTGAACTGTCCCATTACTCAAATTCTGTTTGGATCTGGGGTGTACTTTTTAAAAGTGCCCTTCCTTTTAAGTGACAGCTGGAAAAACCAAATGACATACACATACCAAAATTTTCTACAGGTTGAATCAACCACATCCCTGTAAGCACTGTTTTCCAATTTGTGAAGTTTTAACATCTAGTATCAGTATTCTGTAACTTTTAAAAATATTCAGAACAGGAAAAAACCTGGTATTAAGACTACAAAAGTAGGAAGGGGGGGGAAATAATTTTTGAAAGCTTATACATTATAATACTAAAAAAAGCAGTATTAGAAGTGTCATGGCGAGGAGTCTGTTCAAAGCTACACACTAACCCATTTAATCCTCAAAAACATGGAATTTTTTAGGGTTTGTTTCATTGCTGCCATCCCACTGTGTAGGAACAGTGTCTGGCATGTTAGGTACACATAGGTTGTTCATATATAGTAACAAATATACATCTTATAGAAGTAAACTTGCTAAGAACTAGAATTCTAACTGAACCATTTTCTGCTCTAATGTTCACACCCTTAACCATTATTGCCCCTCTAAAGCTTTTAAATTAAGTGGTGTCACAGCAGCTGGGTATCACCTGTAAAAGAAAAAAAATCAGTGAGACCTTCCTTTAAAGTGTTGTTCTACATGTATAAAAAGCTACAAATCTGAGCTTATTCCACATTACAGTGGCCTGAACTAATTCCCATAGGTAAGAGGTTTTGATTTGCATTGAATGTTACATTCTTTGTATCAGCTATGCTAATACCTTCCAAAGTGATGCCCAAAGTCACAGAAAGTCAGTTTAAAAAAACCTTTTAATTTAAACCTCAAATACTAAAGTTTCCCTTCCTATAATCTCAAAAACACAAAGGTATAAACTATTATGCATAAAAACAAGGACATTAAAATGTATCCTAAAAGAATAAGAGTTCAGCACCTATATTAAACGTGCAGATTTAAACCTTCATCTTTCAAATAACACCAGTTTTGCCAATTAAACATAACAAATCATAATTAAATAACTTTAAATTACATAGCATTAGGTTTTAGCAAACCCAGGTCCTTGCCATTCCTTCCACAGAACTCATTTAGAAAACTATCCTACCACAACCGAAGTTTACAACTTATAACCCTGTCTCCTCATTTCCAGTAAGGCTGAAATTATTTCATGACGTTTTTTTCAAGTTAGCAGTAAATACTCCACCCTTCTTGATTGTGCAAGAACCAAATACAAATACACCACACATACACAAGTTACAAAAACGGGAAATAACATTTTGAGAGTTTGAGTTTAGGTTAAGTTTTAAGCAGAGATGTTAAGAGATACGTACATCCTGAAATAAAAGTTAACATTTAAAGGTCTTACTTCATGTTATTAGAAAAAGAGATGCCGGGAAGAGCTGAACCAGTTAAAGCAGCCGCCATCTTAAAATGCGGGATAGAAGTTACATCAAGAAAATGAGACTAAACCACCGGAGGTGGAGGTTCCGCTCACCCCCAGAGCTTCGAAAAACTCTAGCTTTTTTCAACTTAGATCGATAATTTACTATCAAATCACATTTTAAGCACCTAAACAATGGTCTTTGAAGGTGTTATTAAATGGGCCGAGGCAAAAATAGAACACCTAGTCTTCCCTTACTGCCATCCTACCCTATACACCCCTCTTTCAGAGCCAAAATGAGCAGGGAACTTCCAGAAGGCATTTATACATCAGTTCCCGGTGCCTTCGACAAGACAAACAGCTTCGGGGAAAAGCTACAGGAAACAGAGTTAGTGGCAACACTGTGTCAGTCCACCTTCTCCCAAGCCCACTTACTCTAGGGTAACCTGCCCAAAGCGGATGAAGGTTCTGACTACCCTTGAGAGGGCCAGAGGTCTCGACCCTGACCTTCAGTACAGTTTGTGACCCGCCAGATTTCTTTGATTTTTGTTCTGAATTTCATACTTTTTCCCTTTAGAAAACCCAGTCTTGATCTTGCACTAAAATAAGTTATGAAGAACCACGAGTAAGAAGCACCATAACTGCCAGAGCGTCTCTCCGCAATTCCTCCCCCCAAACCAGATTAACTCTTGTTTCAGCAGAAAACTCAGGCGCCTTAATTCGCTCTCACCGATGCTTTACACCCATTCCATGGAAACACATCTAACACCTCCCTAGCCACGAATATTATTCCCCAGCCTTAACTTCATGTCATGAAGCATATCTGCCTTCTCCATCTCCCAAAGGAAGAAGTGACCCAGAGAGAAGTATTTCCAGAATTGGACTTCCTTCCCGTCCCCACGCTTTCCTCCCTCGACCCACTTCCCTTCCGTCTCAACACTTTACCTTATTAATCCGTTTCAGCGCCATAGTCTGTGCTTTCCGCCTGGCTCCTCTCTATCTCGGTGTGCTCAAATGTCCGGCCAATGCTCTTTTGATTATCCGGGCGGCGGGGAAGGATTGTCTCTTCGTCTCACACCGTCTCTGCCAGACAGGCGCCTTTTGCAAAAACGGAGCAGATCAACCACTCGCAGAGGCCCCGGAGAGACCCTGCCGAGTCCAAGTCCCTCAAAAGGGTCGCGGTCCGGGGTGGGTGGGGTGGCACCGCCACCAACCTCTAGGCCGTGCGTCGCCCGAAGTGACGGGAAGAGCGGACGGTGGCTACAAGTTTAACTTCCCGGGCTCTCGAAAGGGAGAGACCCGGGTGGGAAAGGAAGAGCGTAGGAGAAAGGGGTGGGTGCGGGGCCCGGGCCGGCAGAGGAGGAGCCGGGGCCTAGTCGGCGCTATGCCGGCGTCACTAGGGCAAAGAAAGGCAAGGGGGGAGGGGGCCCAGGAGTCTCCCAATTGACGCCGGGCTGCTTTCGGTTTCTGCCCCAGGGTTTGGTCGGGAGGAGGAAGAAAATAAAGAGAGCCTGAACGTGTACGGCTGTCCCCGCAGCCAGGGCTATTCTGTCGCCCCTGACGCCACCGTACACTCCGCCTTCCAGCGCGCTCCCGCGCGCGCCCGCCCAGCCACCACTAGCACCACCACCACCGTCACGAGCCCGAGCTGCCCCCAAAGCTCCGGCTCAGGCGCGAGGACGCGCCCAGTCCCCCTCCCTCTCAAGCAAGAGGCTCTGGCTTCTGCAGCCTTCCCACCCTACCCCACCCAACACCAGCCTGGCCACTCAAGGTACCCACGGCCCGTATTTCCCCTCTTACCCAGCCGGCCAGTGGGCCGGCCTCCCTTCCCTTCCCCTAGCTGTCCACACCCACGCGTACAGAGGGGCCGGGGCCTCCCTCAAGCAGCGGCCTCGGCCTCCTCCCCGCGCGGCAGCTGGTGCCTCCCCGGCCCTACGGGGCTCACGCGCACGACACAGCCACAAGATGTCCGCTCTGACGGAACTACTGCCAGCTGCCACGCTCCGCCCCTCCCCCTCCTCCTGCCTCTTCACCGCCGCGGATCAGTCCGCCAACGCCGCTGTCGCGAGCGAAGAACCAGCCTGAGGTTCAAGGGGTACGGTTTACTTCCCACGTCCAGGACCGAGGGAATGTGTGCTACCCCCCTTTCCTTCTCCTTTTCGAAACAGCACCTTCTTACTAAACAGATCAGAGGTTGGACTGGGAGGGCGGGGGACGGAGGCGGGACATGGGCTGAGGGGGAGGGTAGACGAGTGGCGGAAACCCTTAGACTCAGAGAAGCATCGAGAACCGGAAGGAGACTATGGGCAGGAAGGTAATGGAAGCGGCAACTGCGCGGTGGAGCCCCACGCCCCTCCCAACAGCATCCCCGAATTTCCTCACTTGGTGTTGAGGAGGAGAATCTCGCGAGAACCTCGTAGCCGGCTAACCGGAGCTGTAGCTCTGCAATGGCTTAAGGGCAGTTTTGTGTGCTCTTCCTGGCTGAGGTCCGCCCCCAGGTCCACAAGCTCTCGCGAGATTGTCTGGGACACTCAGCTCTCACTGGGCGGGTCTCTGCCGAGTAAGCACCGCCCCTGAATGCTTTTGCTGGTGGGAGGGAGCGGAAATTGAATTCCTCCGGCAGGTCGGAGCGCGTGCCGACACACCGCTCTCTCCCGCATCCAATCAGAAATGCGCGGTGGGAGGTACCACGGGTTAATCACCAGATGCCTTTATAGTCAAGGTTGAGCAGGGTTTTGAGGTTTCCGGTGGAACAGGTGAACGGTATTTACTTCCGTGCCCCCTGCAGGTTAACCAGCGGGAGCCGACCCCCTCAAACTAGGAACAGTAATTGCAAATAGACCCAGGCCGACCGCTGATAGTGCGCCCACGTGCAGAAATCTAGCGCGTTTCTGACCTGACGACAGCAGGCCCCTAGACGGGTTCCCAGAGTCAGAACAACCTCGGAATCAAATCTAATTATGAGTTGGGGAGGAGAGGGTTTGGGGTGGACTGTTTGTTTCTACTACCACCGCCACCATCCGGCAAGGTTTATTACCTTTTTCCTCCTGTTGCTGTGTTTTGAGTTCTTGAGTCAGAAAGTGGCGAAACTTCATCAAGAAATCAGGTAGTTTGGGATCAGAAAACTCACTACTAAAATATTGGGGGAGGGGGTGACAATAGGATATATAGGATTGACCTGTTCTGCCGGGTGTAATAGAAATGGCGATTTTGTTCTATAGTGAGTCGTTCAAGGAAAAGATCTTGATTTTTTTTTTTTTTAAGGAATTTGAAGGCGGTTAAGCACTAGTCTGCTTAATGTTTTCTAACACTCCTTACCAAGTGGAAATCTTTCAGGCTTTTAAAAAAAAAAAAAAACCTCTAGTTTTAAAATATACTTAATAAAAAACTTGCAGAAAATATTACCTAATAAATTGGTCTAATGTATACTATTCAAGTGACTATATGGTGTCACCAGAGCAGTTAGTAAAAGATGCGTCTCAAATTCGGTCTGTAGGAATCACCTGAAGTTTTGATCAAAATGCGGATTTTGATTTAGTAGGCCAGGGTAGGAGCCTGAGATTCTGCCTTTCTAGCAAGCGCCCAGCTGATAACGATTTTTTTTTTCTGACCAGATGAACCATAACAAATCATGCAGTGCTCACCTCATGGCTTAGTGGACTCCTCTGCCCCCTTCCTCCTCCCTGAACAATTCATTGTTCTCTCTTCTAGCTACTCAGTTAAAGCAGGCACACAGAATTAGGCATGAGGGTGGAGGAAGAAACCCAGATTTGAGTTCTTGCTTATTGCTTCTCTTTTGTGATATTGGTCTGTTTACCCACCTTCTGAGTTTGTTTCTTCACTAAACTAGATGTAATAATAGCTGTCTTTTCTCACAGAGTTAATGTGATGTAAATGTCATAATGCTGTGAAAGGACACTGAAGTTATTAAAGGAACCAGTCAGACATTAACTGTCTATAGTGTGAAATAATGTACAGCAATAATACGTACAGGTAATATTTATGGAGCTTATCATGTACCAGGTTTTGTGCTTATTAGCTCCCTTTTGCAAAAGAAACCAAGACACATATTGTTGCTATCACAAGGTAACACACCTAGTTAGTGGCAGAAGTGGAATTTGAACTCTTAGAGTTAGTTAACTTCAGAGTTACTTGTTGAATGGCATTTCATAGAATAAGCTGTTTTATCTTTAAATGCCATCTGAATCTAATTTATTTGACTTATTTCTTCCTCTATTTGTTTTGTGTTTTCAGAAGCCAGGGTACAATGATTCAATGATTGTAAGAAACCTCTCTCAAGGGAACTCTATCCAGGGAAGTCCATGAAGAAAAGCTTCAAGAAAACCAATCTGTGTTACCCTAATGGAAACAAGCTTCAGTGTAAAAATACAATGGAACATTACTGCTATACATTAATAGAGCACAGAGCAAATCTGAGGTACGAGTTCTTAATTTTTTTGTACTTCGAACCAATTTGGCAGTCTGGTAAAGCCCAGTAGACTTTCCTTTAAAAAGGTAGGAAGTGTGTAATAAGTTTAAACAACAGTTTTATCCCATTTGTTGATTTTGCTTTTTCTTTTTTGAGTAACTGAAGATACTTGTGGAAAACTGAACTATCTAGAATGATCAGATTGATTCATTTTCCAAGTATTATAAGTTAATTAGGGTTTATTTTATCAAATTCATTTATTTCATGCCTTTATAAATAAGATGCATTGGAGAATTACTAAATGAAAATAATCAAGAGTGAAAGAAATTTAAATATTGTGTAAATACATTTTAATAACTAGTTGAAGTACTTATTATGTACTGACTACTTTAAGTCACTATGTCCCTGTTGTACAGACAAAAATATTTGAGGTTATACAGCTAAGAAGTGCTAAAGCCAAGATTTAAACCTAGGCAGTCAGACCATGAGCCCACACTCCTAACTTAGCTATTTATTTTTAGCCCTTTGATAAAGAGCTAATAATTTTCCCATTAGTGCAACACATACATATTTGCTACATGAAAATCTTTGTGTACTCCTTAGTATTTCAAGCAAAACTCTTCTCAAAGACTAAAAGGGATTTTCCAAAGTCTTTATTATTATGTCAAATGCTACCTTTAAATAAGTGGGCTACCAGCTGAGGTTAGAAAATCCTTTTTGTCTTATAGATAATTTTGTAGGAATGAAATTTTGCTCGAAAGACAAAACATGCATTCCTTTTCCTGCCCCTCAAAACTACTTTCATATTTGAAATTTAAACTTTTGTTTTATAATAGTGTCACTATATTTTTTATATAGTGTCACTATATTTTTTATATTCGTATCAAATTTATATAGAGAGCAGGGCATGGTGATGCATACCTATGGTCCCACCTTCTTGGGAAGCTGAGAAAGAAGGATCACTTGAACCCAGGAGTTCAGGGCCATCCTGGACAACATGTTGAGACCCAGTCTCTTAAATTTAAGAAAACAAGGAAAAGGAAAAGAAACATTCATTTAAAGAATAAGTCCCAAAACACGTATTCCTGGATTATCCATGTTTATTGAGGCAAGCAGTGGCATAATCTCACATTTATTTTTGTCTGATACTGTTAGGCAGTGAATTTGTTGGTCACTCAGGCTTTCTGCTTACTTGGTTGCATATGCATTAGTAGACTCACATTTCTGCCTTGTTTGCTAAGGTTAAAATTAAAAAATGGCCTACAGCCTTTGATAAAACAGGTTAGGATTAGCTCAAAGTTTTCACATATGTAGAGTTACAGACAGCCCACTATACAGTTGCAAATTAAGTTAAAATTTTTTCATTACTTACTATAGCCTGGTGTAATTAACTTTTTACTTACTTGAATTATAATGATAGGTATGTGTCTCCATCTGAAAAGAGAAAAAAAAAATTTTAATCTTTTTTTTTTTTTTTTTTAAATCTTGCAGTTTGGTGTATGATAAAAGAAAATCTCAGTTTTGAAGATGGAAAAACAGTTAAATTCTGAGACCAAGAAAATTGAAAAGGTTGGGCACTAATGGCTCCTGAGAAGCTCTCTGCTTCTCAGGAGGCATAGATCAGGATGACTGTGGTTTGAAGCCAGTCCAGGCAAATAGTTTGAGAGATCCTATCTCAAAAATTACCTGTTACAAAAAAAGGGCTGGTGGTAATGGCTCAAGGTGTAGGCCCTGAGTTCAAACCCTAGTACCACAAAAAAAAAAAAAAAAGATATTGGAAAGATATTCAGCTAAAAACAGTCTCTTTATGAATATTACACTGAAGTTTCAAAAACTTTCTAATTATAGATCAGATTTTCTTACACAAATTGGCATAAAACATGAGAAAAATAGAAAATATTAAGAAAATTACTCTGGCTGGGCAGCTGTGGCTAACGCTTGTAATCCTAGCTACTTAGGAGTCAGAGATCAGAAACCTGATCTCCAGGTTTCCAAGAGACCCTATCTAGAAAAACCCTTCACAAAAAAAGCTGGTGGAGTGGCTCAAGCTGTAGGCCTGAGTTCAAGCCCCAGTACCCCCCACACAAAAAAATTTACTCTGAAATTGGCAAGTAACTAATAACCAAGGTCTGCCAAGGTACTATGTAAGTTCTTCAATGAAGCCACATTGTTACAGTAACTTGAGTACTGTGGTTAATTAAAATGTACTTGTAAATAAATATAATTAATGGAAATTAGTATTACATATATACTTAGTGCTGTATCTATGTTTTCTACATCTTTGTAAATTTGTCATAGAATTTTATAGCTTGCCAAGGACAAGTTTATCAGTTTAAAAGGTTTTTGGGTTTTGTTTTTCCTTGTCATACTTATGATTGAGCCTAGGACTTTGCACAGTCTAGGCAGCAGTTCTACTGAGATACATCCCTACCCTTATCAATTTAACTAAATTGTAAATGCTGGCCATGTGGTGGCTCAGGTCTGTAATCCTAGCTGATTGGGAAGCAATCAGGAGGATTTTCGTTCAAGGCTAACGCAGGCAAAAAGGTTGCAAAATCTCATGTCAACTAATGGCTGAGTATGGTGGTACATGCCTATCATTCCCAGCTACCTGGAGAAGAACAAGTAGGAGAATCACAGTCCATGCCAACCCAGGCATAGATCGAAACCCTATCTCAAAAATAACCAACACAAAAAGGGCTGGGACATGGCTCAAATGGTAGAGCACCTGCCTAGCAAGTGCAAGACCCTGACATCAACCCCAATACTGCCAAAAAAATAATAAAATTGTAAATGTTAAGGTCAAGATTTTACATTTATATTGCATGTTTACACAGTCAGCTTGGAATAGGTAATTTGGGAGCCCAAGTCAAATATTATTACTTTATATCATTTGCATGAAAATCAAGTTAATTTTTATATTTACCCATTCAGAATATCATTTTTATAAGGTTGAATTAAAATGGTTTAAGAATACTATTTTTAGCCATGCATGGTGATGCATGTCTATAATCCCAGTACTTGGGAGGCTGAGGCCAAGTTAAAGGCCAGCCTGGGCTACATAGACCCTGTCTCAAAAAGAAGACAACTTGTACTCATGCTAAGCACATCAATCATGGGATTATTTGGACATGTAATGAAATGTACAAATCTTTGGAATGAAAATAAATTGACATTTTCTACACCAAAATTTATATACCCAAACCTTCAGAGTGATACTAGTCACAATATCTAAAAAGCAGAAACAAACCAAATGCTTATCAGCTGATGAACAGATATATATCCACAGGCTAGAACAGTATTAATAAGGAACAAAATACAGACATACTACATTATCTTGAAGCTTGAGAAAGTTCTGTTAAGTAAAAGCAGCCAAACACAAAAGGACACATTTGATTCCATTTATGAAATGATAAAACCCACAGGGACAGAAGGTAGGTATCTCATTGTCAGGAATTACGGGTGGAGGGATGGGGAATGAGTGGTAATGAGTATTGGGGTTATTTTGGTCAAGGTGATGAAATATTCTAAAATTAGACAATGGTGATGGTTTCACAGTTCTGTATTGATACTAAAACACTGAATTGTATATTTTAAAAGTTAATTTTATATAAACAAATTATCTCAGTATAGATACTTAAAAAATAATTTTAGCCAAAATATGAAATTGATCTAGAAAACTACTAGTAGATATTTTATTCTCATAATACTTTTCAGATTACTAATAAATGATATATAATATCCTTGTAACACTGGAAATGTGAGAAATTAATAATTATTGAGCAGTTTTTTTCCTTCAGTATATATAAGGTAATTTAATAAGCATTTGCCATCAGTCTTAAATTTGGAAGTATTTTCATCAGTATTATTTGCCTAGTAAAATGACTAAAATTAACTTTTAAATAATACTGCATTTTATTGAATATGAGTGTTCAGACATATGATCAGAAAAAGAATATATTTGACTTTGGCATACTGTTAAGTACAAAAATCATTCCTTAAACTTTCAAATGAAGTTAGGTTAAGCATTAAGAGGAAAATCATCTAAAGATTTTCGGGGGGGTTAGGTATTTAACTAAAAATAAGGAAGTAAAATTATAATAACTTCTAAATCATAGTTCTTTCATGCTTCAATGATACCAAAAAAATCTGAACATTTATAGAATTTGTGATATAGAGTAAGTGATGTTTTACCAATATCGGATGTTATTTAGATATCCATGAGAATTCTTTAATAAAGATAGTGATGATGAATCTAAATTTTCTTCTTTAAATTATAAGTGGAAGCCGGACACCAGTGGCTCAGGCTAGCTACTTGGGAGGTACAGATCAGGAGGATCGAGAAAACACAGCACAAAAAATGACTGGTAGGGTGGCTCAAGGTGTAGACCCTGAGTTCAAGCCCCTGTACCACAAAAATAAGTGGTTATGGCAGTGCTGTACATACTGGTTCTAAAAGACCAGAACTACATGGTATGTAGGTGGCTTAATTGAATCGCTTATGTCAGGGTTTGGGGGCAGGGTTTGGTGGTGGTACTAGGGTTTGAATTCAGGGCTAAGTGCTTGGTAGACAGGTGCTCTATTGCTTGAGCCATGGCTCTAACGCCTTGTTTTTAGTTTTTAACACATATAGCTGAATTAGTTCCAGGACCTCCCACAAATATCAAAAGCCATGGATGCTCAAGTCCCTCATAAAATGGTGGTATACTTAGATTTAATCTATCCGTGGTCTAAAGCAATGCAAATGCCATAAGTAGTTATGTTGATTAGGGATTAGTGGAAAAATCTATACATGATGCAAGGTTTTAAAAAATATTTTTGATCCTGTAGTTTGCTGAATCTGTGGATGCAGAGAGATGGCTGTACTGTCTAGCCCCTATTAAAGATTTTTTTCATTGTACATAAGCGGTAATTTAACACATGGCATTAAGAGAAAAAATAAGACTTGCTGAGAAGCATTCCACTAGATCTAAAAAGTGCTTACTCCAAGAACTTGGCTTACTTGGGTGGTGAAATCTAACAATTTCAGAAATATTCCATCATCAAAGCATACAAAATTTCAAATGTAATGATTAAGTAATAATGAGATTGGGGGCTTTCTCACGTACCTGTATAAGAATGGAATGACACAGATTCCCTCCCACCACTTAAGTTTTTTTTTTTTTTGCAGGTCAGTTGTTGGTGTCTCACGCCTGTAATCCTAGCTACACAGGAAGCAGAGATCAGGAGGATCAATGTTCAAAGCCAACCTGGGCAAATAGTTCAACAGACCCTATCTTGAAAACACCCTTCACAAACAAGGGCTTGTGGTGTGGCTCAAGGTGTAGGCCCTGAGGGGGGTGTGCCCAGACAATGTATGCACATGTAATTGTAAAATCGATTTAAAAAGTATAGGACCTGAGTTCAAGCCCCAGTACTTAGTATTGAGGTCTGAATTCAAAGTAGGCAAGCCCTCTATCACTTGAGCCACACCACCATCCCTTTTTGTTTTAGTTTTTAGAAAGGATCTTGGGCTTTTGCTGGGCTGGCCTTGGACAGTGATTCTGTTACTTCTACCTCCCTAGCAGCTCGGATAACAGGCATGAACCATCTTATCCAGCAAGACTTCCCATCCATGCAGAAAGAGCCCTGGGCCTTACAATGTTTGAAATTCAATGATTCAAGAAAGTATTGACAAAAAAACCCCAAAGGTTTTTAGATACTCATAGATTTGTGTAAATTTAGCTTTTCCTGTTTTTTCTTTCTGTTCTGATGCACTAATGCAGAGATAGGGAAGATTACTCTAAAGATGTTAAAAGTAGGGCTAAATACCAACCCCTGGCTTGATCAGGGCTATAATTATGGACAACAGGCAAAGAAACGATGTTAAAGATAAACTGAGGTAAGCCTGGTGAACTGAGAATGAACATTTCATGAGCATTTCCTTTTCTGTTATAAATAATTTATGTGTATGTATCTATGTATATATACACATGTATGACCACATATACACATTAAGCAAATATCTCTTCTCATTCTCTTATGTAACATAACGTACTGACTTTATTTCAATAAGTATTAATTTTATATTACAGTATTTTAAGTTATATAGGAGAAAAGTAAATATTCAAAGACTTTACATCCTCTTCTGGGGAAGGGACTAGTGTTTTCAGTTGTACAAAAGATAGTTGTATCATGTTAGGCAGAATTATAACCTTGTTGTCTTTGTATGGTTTGAGGAGATTCATATGCGTAGTAAGTTCCATGGGATGAATTTGTGATAGTTACTCTTTTGGGGGAGAAGGGGGGTAGGGTTGAGAGAAGACCTTGCTATGTAACCAGGCTACCCTCAAACTCACAATCCTCCTGCCTCTGTGCTGGGATTACAGGCATTCACCACCACACCCAGCTGTGATGGTTAACTTCATGTGTCAACTTGACTGGGCTAAGGGATACCCAGATGGCTGGCAAACATTGTTTCTAGGTATATTCCTAAGGGTGTTTCTGAAGAGATTATCCTTTGAGTCAGTGGACTGAGAATAACAGTGCAAGTAAGCACTGATAATTCCAATTCATTGAGGCTTTAATAAAACAGAATGGCAGAGGAAGGGTAATTTTGCTTCTTGTTTGACCTGGGATAGCCATCTTGTTCTCAGATGGATATCAGTGTTTCTGGTTTCTGACCATTGGATTCCAACTATAACAGTAGTGTCCT